TTAACCAGTAGGACACCGCGGCAACTCGAATTTTGACAGAGTATCTTTCATTGAGTTCCACGTGAATGCACACTGGTTTAATGGAATACATCTGACCTTTTAAATTTAAATTATTAGTTGTGGTCTCATGGAATAATGTTTTCTTCTAGGAAAAACTTTTTACGGGCAGGATTGTTTTGCGTTAAGGTATCCGACTATGTTTGGAACCGTGATTTTGCCAAAGCGCATAAATGGATAATTTTCATGATATTTAGTGTCATTTAGATTAGAATGCATGTATACAATTGTTTTAAGGACATTTTGACAAAAAAAAATTATTGAAATACAATATTTCGGCAAAAAAAAAAATAACTTATAGAATAATTTTTTTTTCTCAAAATGTTCTCCTTTTGTGAAAAATGCTTCTATTATGATAATATTTTGCCCGTATACAGCTCAGACCTCTCTACAGAGGCTCAACTAGAATTTTGAAATATGTAGCTTAAAAGTGGGTTTATCTAGATTTTACGACAACAGAAGGGAGCAATTTTAAGAAAAAAACGCCGATAATAGTTTCAATGGGTTGTAACTCTGAAAATAATGTGAATTTTTCAAAATTCTTAGTTGAGCCTCTGTAAAGAGGTCTGAGATATATACAGGCAACATATTATTATAATAGAAGCTTTTTTCACAAAAGGAGAACATTTTGAAAAAAGATTATTCTATAAGTTTTTTTTTTTTGCCAAAATATTGTATTTAAATAATTTTTTTTGTAAAAATGTCTTTAAAACAATTTTATACATGTAGTTTAATCTAAGTGACACTAAATATCATGAACATTATCCATTTATGCGCTTTGGCAAAATCACGGTTCCGAACGTAGTCGGATACCTTAACAAAAGAAATTCTACCCCCGAATTCGTGAACTTTTTTAATGTATGTTATTATTATTTACACTTCTTAATAATATTATTTCACCTCAATATACAATTTTTCTTATGAGTCCCTAGAAAGTTCTTTCAATCCCTGGGGTTTCATGTGGGGAAACACCGCTTTATATTCTATATTTGTGCCCTGCAACTGTATAAAATAGCAAAATAGGTCACTAAAATTCTGATTTTGTCATTCCTGATGCAATCCATAATTTCCGATACAATAAGCATCATTTTAAGGGTAACATCTACGCTTCATTAGTAACCATTCGAGAGAATAGCCAACGACCCTACAATAGACTGAGCCTGAATGGGTGGGCTGTACCTTAAGTCGGTCAGACAGGGGAGTGCTTCCAAGTATTTGAAAGGGAAACAATCGGATATGACGGATGAGAACGGCTGTTAGCGTCACCATGATTCATTTTCATTTCCCCGTCTTAGGTGTTTCGACGTGGGTTATAGTTTATATTGTGTTTTTTCCCCTCAAGTATGTCGTGGCGGTATTATGTCCAAAAACAAATCATTTGTCAACAATTTATCCGTGATATACTTCGAATGCTAAAAAGAATAAATGATAGCAAAGTTTTGTTCTATTAGGTTAACGACACTCTTAAATTTTCCTTTATGGGTCGTAATCCGGGAATAATTCTTCAGACGCGGTCAGCGTAAAGTGAGCCAGGGCCTTCTGAAGTGTAAATAGCCCCTATTTGTCTTGTAGGAAGACACAATAATGTATGATTTCTGAAATGACATTACTCTAAAGTATTATTCATGATTGGCCTATCAAGAAATATTGATTGATTGATTTTGACACAACACGAGGACTATTGGTAAAAAATTCATAATTTTGAACCAAGGTCAAGTGACGAAAATAACTTTTAACTAGACCCTCATTGTCGAAATATCTATAACCAACAAATATGTATCTCAACAAACTTTATTGAGTATCAGCTCCGCTGCAAGCTGTAACGCTTGGGAACATTGATTGGCAGCGTGAGACTTAAGAAATTAAATTATTATTCATAACCTCTATAGCTATTCACATTACACTGTTTACAATTAAAACTAAGTTATTAAAACTATTGTGTGTTTAAATCCTACAGAATCTGTTATTGGTAAAAAAGGAGGCAAAACACAGCTTCTCTTTTCGAGTTTCAAACGAAGTGTCTCCCCGTTCTTTTGGTGTGAGGACGGTCACTTATGACAACTCGAATTACACTCGGGGTTTCGGCTCCTAGGTGGAATCCAACGATGGTTTTCTCACGGCCATCGGTTGTCAGTGTGATGTCAGATGAAAAGATCCCGCAATATTTTCAGGGTGCACGTGTAGATGTGAACGGTGTTATGCTGCCTGCGTAGGGAGTCGGTCTTACAACTGTGTGGCGGGAAAAACACGCGGAGGATATTTAGTGTAACATCAAAACTTCATAGAAATGTGGGGAACAAAAAATTAGTGATATGGCTTAAGAAAGATTAAAGTGAGATGTGAATAACAATAATCAAACTTTTCATTTAAAGTACTCGTTAAACTTCTGGAATTGCTTTTCCAAGATAGGAAAAACTACAGATTTTATGCATTTTTACTTTTTCTATTGATGTTTCATTCTTCAAACAAGCTGTTATATTTTTAATTTAACGAACTCATTTCAATCAAACAAAGTTAATATATATATATATATGTATACAATATATATATATAAATATATATATACAATATATATATATATATATATATATATATATATATATATATATTGCATTCTAAATAATATGATAGCAACTGATAGAACACAATTTCAACACATTTACTTTTCTCAAGGTATCCTAGAAATCTCTCTCTTCTCATTTGTCCTGTCTCTGATAAATATGAGAGACAGATTCTCCAGATAAAAATTTCCCAACCTTTTCATCGCCACGGACCAGTCAAAATTTGATAATTTTATCACAGCCTATTGAGTGTGTGGAAGGGATGTTGATTGCTTATATTTTAAATTGCTTTGATTTAATAATTTTAATTTAATTGTATTTAAACATACTCTCACACACAGAATAAAATATAGTTACACCAAAAAATGAATTCAAAGTGATTTAACTTGGAAAATATAAAGTGATTTCTATAAAAAAATAATACATACAATAGAAATTTCCTCAAATTATAGAGAAATATTCTAAAATAAATAAAATGGAAATAATTAAACATTCTTTTGGGCAACCCGGTATTATTTGATCCATGGACCAGTGCCAGTCTGCGGCCGTGGGTTGAGGACCACTGCTTTCAATACCCTACAGATCTTTTGTCATTTTCATTTTTTGTTTTGTGTATCAATACTTAATTTTTCTTCCTTCTTCCAACTAACGTCTGAGATAAATTCGTAACAATTATTTATACACTATTCATTAGGTTAATAGAAAAAACAGGAAATTATAGTTCATACTTATTTAATTTTTTTTTTGTGCCAGTAAAATCAAAATTTACCACTTTATCCCAAACTCTACCTTTTAAAAGCACACACGCTTACCCGAAGACTTTTAAAACATGTATAACATGTTCAAATCATGTGCATAATTATTAAATGAATTGTTTTGTAATTTATATCTATTCAAAAATAATGTGTACATTACAGAACTGTAAGGAAATTGTTCGAAATATTACCACCAAATATGTAACGAAAATAGACTTCAACACATTCAACAGAAAGTATGATATACATTGAATTAAATATGAGCTCACCTGCCACACCGATATCAAGATTTCGGAAAAAGTCGATAAGGTATGTTTCTCGGAAAAATAAAAATCGGTTTCTTTCACTCAGATATATGAGATAAATATATTTTTAAAAATATTGTATAGTACGTTGAGGGAGTCAATGTCTCACGTCATGACGTTTCTAAGGGAATCCTAAGCTGTCATCCAATCGCCAGAGATGTTATTCTAGATATTAGCCGAGTGAGATGTAGAAAATGTAATGCTGGTGAGGAGATCTGGAATGTAACTCTTTTTGCTATCAAATGCACTCTGAAACCCGTAAAAGGGCCATGCAGTTGCCATTATTTCTCTTATTACATATAAAATCTCTCCCTTATTTATTATATAAAATATATTAATAAAATCATTGTATAATTTTGATATTACTAACATTCACCTATTCCCCTGTTTCGCATTTTTACAATTTTTAACCGATTACAAAATTGAGGGTGGGGTAGGAGAGGGACTTTAATTGAACCTTTTCCATTTTACTAGTCGTAAATTATATGAGTATTATAATTTATTGAGTGGATACTGTTCATATTTTGTTGTAGTGCTATAATAAAAAGTAAACAACGTTCGTAACGTAAACAACTCGTAACAATATAAATAAAATCTAACACAAATGTAAATAATATCAATAAAAGGCCCAATACAACAAAATAACTTGTTACACATAATTTGTCTGCACAATATCTCTAAGAACGTTAAGTACTGTGCATGCAAATCTAGGGATAAATGCTTATTTGTTTTATCATAAAACAATTAGCATAAAAAAAATTAAGTCAATTCCTACTTAGAGGTCAACAAAGAACAATTTTATTTTAGTTACTGTTTATTAAATAGTTACAATTAATATGAATATGTATATACATATGATAGAATCACACTATTAAGTGACAAAATAAAAAGGATATTTTCCGTTAAATTTTTGATTTTCCTTTTTATATAGTGTGTTGGAACATTTTTTTATCTTACTATGTATTTTCATTAATTAAATTAAATTATTATAATAAAATAATATATTAAAAAAGAATTTACATTCTCAGAAATTAGGCCATCCCAGGTGGGATTCGAATCCCCGACTTTTGGATTAGAAGTCCAATGCGCTATTCATTGCGCTACAGGGACACAACCAGAATTTTTTTTTTTCTTTCTATACATGATGTTGGACTGTTATTTTTGTTTCTTAGTATTTATTCATTTTTAAATTAATTAATGAATTAATATTTGAAAAAAACTGTATTAACATCAAGTGCAACTTACTACAAATTTTAAAAAGTGCATTTGAACTTGATTGGATGAATAGAAAGATTTTATTAACGATTGAAAATTTCAACAAGATTATATATATATATATATATATATATATATATATCAGACACTACATCAGATAGAGAGATTCATCAAGTAAAGAATCCTTGCGGTTAGTTACGCAGTTAGTTCGTCACATTTTCGATGAACATTATAGGAAAAGCTGTTTCTTGAAATAAGCTCCACAAAAATCCATATGAAGGCGGGGTGTGGAGCGAGTGAGTGAATATTAATGTCGCACTGTTCAGCTACACGAGGGCTTTTGGCGACGGACCACGTAATTTTGAACCATGGTCTAGTGACGTGGACGACACCTGAGCTGGCACCCCCTCTCCTAACTACCACGCCATACCAACGGGAGGACGTTTCAGCTCTCGACAGATTTAGCGTGCATCGCTTCTCTACACGGCGGGACTTTAGTGATACTGGGCTCGAACTCGTGACAAGACCAGCCAAGATCCGATATCTATACCACTCGGCTACCGCGGCCACGGGCGTGGTGTGGAAGTTGGGAGAATAAAGTATTAGCTCAGATGTACTCTTCGTCATTTGACTATAGTGCAAAATCACGAGGTTCACTACCAATAGTCCTCGCTGTAGGTCTTTCAGCACAACGCTAACGAACCAAGCCAACTAATGAGCACATTACGGAATATATTTCGAATACTTTTCCTTTTGAAATAAAAGTATGGAAAAAATGCACAGTTTAAAAATTTAAAAACATCTCCAATTAATAATCTATGTTTTGCGCAAGAATAAGAAAAATGAACAGAAAGAATTACGATAATTAAAAGTTCTAATTAGGGTTTTCATTATCCAAAAAAAAAAGTGTCCTTCAACCTATTTTTCAAAGAAAAACTACCCTAAGGTTTAAAAGCTATTAAAATGTGACGAAAGACAGAAAGGAATTAAGAAAATTCAAATAAAAATTTAAAACAAATATAATTGAATTCAAATTACATAAATTCTTTTTGGGAAGGCAAAATTAATAAAATTAAATTTAAAAAAGTTTTAAAAAAACAAAAAAATTTTAAAAAAATTATTTTTAAATACGTATTGATATCCATTCAATAAATTCAATAAGTGGATGGTTAAAAAGAAAAGGTAAATTAAAAACAAAAATAAATTTAATTATTCAGCTGTTGGTTTTAAAATTTCGTGTAAAAAATATTGAATTCATTGAATTAAGAAATAAAATTAATAAAATTCCTGCGCGGAAAAAAGATCCTGGAATAAGTTTCTTTTACCCTTAAGTGAAACAATTAAATTCCATTTTATATTTTTAAAAAAAAATGAATATATTTTTATTTTTGATTTATTTTTAACTCCATAAATTTATTAAGGAAGTTTAGAAAATGCTTTATTATTCTTGTCTTGAAAAATTTAATTTTTAATGAAGAAGCATTTCCTACGTTTTATTGATGTTAATACAAGAATTATCTGAAATTGTGTAGACCAAAAATACTTAATTTTCAATAGAGGAATACTTTTTTTTTATTTCCAATGGGCTGCGAATTGTTTATTAACCATTGCAGACCTAGTACACCCCCAGAAGCAGGTATCACTTTTTAGTTTGGTGCCCTATAGGCGGATACCAATCGCCGCAGGTAATTTTGGCGCCCAGTTTCCTCCCTAGAGGGAGGCACTTGAGCTCTGACAATGCGAACCTGTACCAGGATTTAATTTTGCCGAGGACATCCAAGCCAAACAGACACTCTAGGGATCTTTTACATGCCGTATAATCATATGACATGTCTGCAGTTGATTTTCTGCATCAAGAAAATACACCGACTTGGGCCGGGGTTGAACCTGCAAACTTGGCTACGGAAGGCCAGCGACAAACCAACCACGCCACCCAGCCGGCTAATAGAGGAATACACATTGTACTATTTCATTTTACAACACAACTTTTATTAAGAAAAGTATCGAGCATAAACGAGTAAAGAAACGCTTTTAGACTCAAATTTTATTTTTTAGTACATACTGTAACGCTTGGGAAAATTGATGGGTAGCGTGGGACTTAAAAAATTAAATTTTTGATTTATTACATCTACAGGTATTCATTACACTATTTACAGTTAGATACAAGAGTTATTCAAACTATTGAGTGTTTCAATACTACAGAATATGTTATTGGTGAAGGAAATCACAATTTCCCTTTTCCGGTATTTCTAATGGACTGTCTCTCCATTCTCTTAGGATGGGGGTGGTCCTTTCTTACGCATAGAATTACACTCGGGTTTCCGGCTTCCACATGGAATCTAGTGTTGGTTTTCTGCGGCCATCGGTTGTTGGTGCGATGTTAAATGAATAGACCCCGCAATATTTTAGGTGAGCAGGTGTGGATGTGAACGACGTGATGCTGTCTTCAAAGGGAGACGATCTTGCAGCTGTGAGGCAGGAAAACTTTACAATATCTTGTTTTGATACCACGTCAGTTTCAAATGATTGTATCCGAATTATGGATTATAATCTATTTAGGTTCTATACAGGAAAAAAAATGAATACTCAAAATAAAAAAGATAGCTTTGCCACATTACTTACAAGATGAAAATATGTCTTCATCCTTTCAATTGAAAAATATTTTCCTTCGTATGGACAGGATTTTTGTAATGAAAAAAAATTCAAAAATAATAATCAAAACAAAGGTCGTGCTTGCTTCTCCAGATGTAATTATTAATAGCTACTTTTTTTTACGTTACTGATGTATTCCAATATTATTTAGGATAATTGATATTTTTTTGAGGTAGAAGGAAGAAGAAATTCGTCATTTAAGTGCTCATATAATTTCTGAGAATTTTAACTTTGTATATGTCTGGAAAATTTTTTGTGAACCAATGAATCAAACGTAGAACGCAACTTAAAATTCCAACTGAGAATTAGTTAAACTGGGTACAAAACCTAGCTAAACTAAAACAGGGGAGGGAGGAAAAAGATTTTCTGATTTAAAAAATTTTATACTGAAAAATATACTGTCATTGAAACGTTTAGTTACACCCTTAGGTAAATCAGGTAATGTTTGGTAATCTAAGGTCTCATTTGAAAATGAATGAACATACATACACGAAATTTGGAGGTAAAGCACTAAAATGTTTTTTATTGAATGGTAAAAAAATTTTTTATTAAACAATTTCTTTAGATCGACAAAAATTTTAAGAATTTTACATGAAATAATATGTGCAACAAATTCTCTCCAAAAAAAAAGTGCTTCTATAAGAAAAGTAGAAAAAAAAAATCCATTCCAGTTTGGATTATATTTTAGACAATTTTCGGTACTGAACAAGTCGAATGAATCCTTTTGGAAAAGGAGGATCAACGCAATGTACGGAAAAAAAGCTCTAACTATAATAATCTCCGGGACAACAGCCAAGGTATTGGGAAGTATTTATCTTTTAACCAAAGTGAAGTGGTTCTGTCCCCTATAAACCATCCTGTAACCAACCACCTGAGCTGCGAAGTAATATCGGGAGCCATCGCTTCTGATTCTCCTTACCCAGAAAATCGCATCAATATACGCAGAGACAGCAGAAAGCTCCATTAAACTTCCGTGCTTGATCCAGTTTCGCCATTCCCAGTGCTTGGTTTTGGCCCCAAATCGCCAAGTATCTCGCCTCGCGTTGCAAAAGAGATGCCACATTTCACGATTGCGATACAACATTCGGGGGCCAGGTACGACGTGAATTTGGTTTGCGTCTAGGTTCTTAACCTTAAGGAGACAAGAAAAGAGCTTAGATAAGAAAGTGCTTTTCAGGGAGGGACCTTTTAGCTTCTTTATACCTCTTTCTCTTTTTCAATTCCTATTACAAGTTCACACTCTCCCTATATATATGTATTTACTTATGTATCTAGTTCAAATTTTCAATCGTTAATAAAGTACTTCCTATTTTCATCCACTCAAGTTCAAATACATATTTTATACGTGTAGTGGATGACGCTTGATGTTAATACAGTTTTTTCAAATATTAATTCACTAATTTAATTTAATTAATTAATTATTAGTTTTAGGTATATGTTTCAGGCGATATTATTTCTCTAGATGGGAGCACCATTGTATAAAACAGCTTTTGTAAAATTTTTGTGATGAAGATTTAACTTAACCTCTCTCTCTCTCTCTGAATAATCGTATGCTAGTTAGACATCGGCATTCCTTTTACACTGGTTTTAAGATAAATACTTTCCTATTATATTCAGTTTATGTAATTACAAATTTAATGTGGTTAAAACATTTTTAATGTTAATTTAAAAGGTATTTTGCCACTTAATATTGTGATTCTGTTATATGCATATGCGTATTTATATTAATTGTAATTATTTAATAAAAAAGTAACTAAAATAAAAATTTTCTTTGTTGACCAAAGTAAGAAATGTCTTTAAAATTTTTTTATTTTGTCAAAGATTGACAATGTCATTTTTCATTAGCCAGAATGACAGTTATATTAACGTCGCACTATAAAGCTGCATGACGGATATCGTCGATGTACTTCGTCATTTTAAACCAATTGTCAAATAACAAAGACGACACTTGATGTGGCCCATCTTCTGACTTACACACCACACCAACGGGATGATGTTTGACTCTCAACATACTTAACGTGCATCGGCCTCATTTTCACGGTCATATTTTTTCGGACATAGATGGCAAGAGTATGTTACAGTGAAGTATCTTTTTTGGTTAATAAAGTAAGGGAGATAATAAAACTTTAAAATCTCCTTGTCTGAAAACAGGAGAGTTCATTGAAGAAATTGACGTTTACGGATTTGGATATACCACGTAATATTCAGAAAGTAGTGTGTGTGTAGTTGAAACTGCTCTGCAG